GAGAGAGAGAGAGAGAGAGAGAGAGAGAGAGAGAGAGAGAGAGAGAGAAAGAACATACACAATGGAGCGCAAGATCGCGCTCTTACCGAGAGCGCAAGAAGTACAAGGTGTAATTAACCGTACTCGACGAGGCTGAAATATGTTCGGCTACTAGCGCGAGATAAATCCCGCGGCGCAATCGCAGTTTTACCGAAGATTTATTGAAATAATTATTAGCCAAGTGTGTGCGCGCGCGCGCGCAAGCTAGCACGAGCGAGCGCGGGCGATAACATCGCTATCGTCATAACAGCGGACAGTGTTTCGTTGTCATTCATCACCGGGACCGTTATGCTGTGTGCGCGCCGGTTACTTTCGATCAATTACTCCGGCGAATCGGCCGGCCGGGCCGCACATATCCCTTATTCCGTCTATTAAGCGGAGCACCGCCGGACGCCTAATCTAATACAAGCCGAGGGCGTCCGATTATCATAAAGATCCGCGCCGTTCCGAGATGCCTAGAGGAGAAAAATCCTCGCCGGCGTATTTAGCGACCGGGGCGACGGCGCCGCGCTATCATCGCGCGAATCGGGCGCACACACTCGTCGATCGATACGCTCGCACGTCGATCCGATCCATCCCCGGCTATTAATTAGCCGAACGGAATGTTTCTCTTCTTAAGTATCGGCAATTAGAGGCCGCGACGAATAATTCATGATTCGCCGCGTCGCCGATCGTGAATTATTCGCTCGAATTTATACTTCGTGTTTCTGTTCTATGTTTGTTTTTTCTCTCTTTTCACGCGCGTGACATAAATGAGATTCGCGGGTGATCGAGAACGCCTCTTTCTCTCTCTCTTTCTCTCTCGCTCACTCACTCACTTGCTCGCTCGCTCGCTCGTTGTGTCGTCGGCTTTTCAGGAAGGTCGCGTAAAACACGCGTGAATAATGATACCGGTAATGACGTTGGACGATTAAGGCGGCCGGAGCGAGCGAGAAAGAAAGAGAGACAGAGGGAGAGGAGAGAAGCAGGTTTTATGGTTGATCCTCGATCACCATCTGTATAATTCCCTCCTATCCGTTCTAGCTGATTGACTACTCGACCGTCTCGGCCTCTAATTAGTAATTATGGAGAAATCGAAAACAGAGCGCGCGATTCGGTCGCGCGCGCACACACACACCTCGAACCGCTCATTAACCTCGCAAAGAGGAGGAGAAGGTGGAGGAGGTGGATGATGATGATGATGATGATGATGATGACGACGACGGCGACGATGATGCAGCCACGGAAGTGTGCACGGCCGTGCTGATAAAGACGCGGTCGTAATTAAAACTTGGCGCACGTCGATTCATTTACGAGGGGCGCGCCTCGCCTCTCTCTCTCTCTCTCTCTCTCTCTCTCTCTCTCTCTCTCTCTCTCTCTCTCT